ATTGGGCCTGGAGGCAGCACCCAGTCTTCTCATTGTCCGGGAAACCCATGATGCAGCAAAGTGGTCACAACAGCGAATAAGTCAAGCGTCGAGCACTTCTTTCAGTCCAGCAGATTTCTTATTGATTACTAGCGCACAGGATCATGGCGCCTTAGGACAGACTATTTATGGACCTCTCATTAGTCAGGATCCAGTGAAATCAGCTCTATTGGCAGTGCTGGTTTGGTTTCATAAATTTCCTTTTTGTGCTGCGATCACGCCGGAGCCAGAGAGCGACAGGGGCTCACAGAAAGAGGCAGTCTGTGTATTGATAAGCAGCACAGATGAATGAGGCTGAATCCCTTAGTCAGCACAGTATCAATGTCCACTGCCCGAGACAGACATCTGACCTCATTCCTGCCGGATGGTTGTGCCATGCAAGCCAATCGAAACAGCGATCCAACGGCACTGCTTTCCTAATTCTGAATAATGTTAGAATGTAGCTGCGTGACATAGATGTAGCACTTCCACAGCCTCCTGTGTGCTATATTGTACTGCATAGAGAAAATGTGTGGATAATAGCTGCACCTGTTGGTTATGTAACTGTCTGATGAGGCAACAGGAAAAGAAACCAAAGAGTGGGAGGTGTTAGAACAGTAGGCACAGGATGAAATGAGAAAAAAATGTTCTGCAAGATTAGATCCGGAGTCAAGAATTACATCAGGAATTAGATTTGATCTGATGAGAGTGATAGGGAACGTGATTTCAAGCCTCTTTGTGTGAAAAAGTAACCAAATGTCCTTGAGCAACACTTCCTACCAGGTCCAAGGATAATGCTTTTAACCCGAATGACAAGCTGTGGGAGGAAGAGACTTCCTCTGCTTGCTTCTCTCTTTTATCCATCCTTTTCATCCCTGGATGTTGTTGGGTGTAAATGAACTTTAAAGGAAAAAAGTGCGCCCCCCTCCCAGCTGCACTGCACATAGCCCTCTTTACCCAATTCTTTGCCCTCAACCCGCAGCTGTCTTGGCAGCACATCCCTCCAGCCCCTCAGAGCCACAGAGCCCACAGGCTAATTAGACACCTGTTGAAGTCAAGTGGGAACAGCCAAGCCGGAAGGTTCATGAAAAACAATTTTTTTAAAAAGAGGGAATGGCGCCTAAATCACTTTTTCCAAGGCAAAGACTTTATCTAAGGTAACCTGGGAGTTAAATCATGTCATTGCCAGAATGGAGGTTATAAGTGATGCAGCACAAGACTCTTTTGTGATTGCATGCCAGCTATATATAATCAAGATGCGTAACCCCTTTTAGCTCCTCTCCATCAAAGAGTCACATAGAGGTTGTGCCCTTCCTCTTCTTACTCCAGGGCTCAAGGTCCCACTCTAATGGTCGGCTCTTATAGCTCACGGCAGCATGTGACGATCCTGGGCTAAATCTAATCCAGGTTTTTCAAAAGAAAGTCTTACTACCTGGCTTGCGTGCATAAATAGTAATGATATTAGGCCTTGTACACGGCACGTGGCTGCACACTAGACATGCAAATATCTATATACAAATCGAAAAGTATGTAGTTCTTTTGTCACCTGGGACAAATTATCTACCTCTTTGCAAAAGAGATTTATCACTGTAGGTGGCCAACGTTTACCCGTCGTATCAAACAAGTTTGAAACAAGTTAAATATTCAAATACACTGAGACACAGAGCTGCAAGTTCAAGTTTTTGTTTTATCATGAAACAAGGGAATCAATAATAATAAAGACGAAGCATTAAAAAAAATGTCTATGCCAATTTTAAACATCACTGTGATTTCACAATCTGCCCTAGTATTATACACTGTAAATATAATACACTGCAAGTGTGCACAACAGAAATCACACTGGCCTTTTTAAAGACAAGTCAGAGCATGGACTTATACAACACCCTTTTTCTAATCCTAGGGTAAGAAGCCAGCCTCTCCGTAGCTTTCTTCTTCTTCTTTTTTTCTGTTTTTCTTTTTACTTCACTAATTATTATTAGCAATATATTCATATATATA